GAGAGCGGCAAGGGGCCGGCGCGGGGGCCCCGCCGGCCTTGGAAAGCCAGCGCGCGGCGGCACTCACCGGGGTGAGCAGCTCCGGCGTGGAGATGGGCGAGCAGTCGCCGTTGAGCTTGATGCCGCTGCCCAGGTCGAAGTCGCAGATTTTCACTGGGGACACCTGGCCCGGGACGGGGACAGCCGGCGGTTACCCCCCCGCACAGCCTCCCCTGTGTCCCCCCAGCCTGGGTCCTGCTCACCTGGTCGGGGCTCTCGCAGAGAATGTTCTCTGGTTTTAAATCCCTGTGCGCTATTCCTGGGGAAAAAATGTTTTTTTTTTTTAAAAAAAAAAAGTTCAATTTTTAAATTTTTCATTAAAAGAAACCCAAGTTGGACAAAATTCCCGCTCTCCTCAGCATAGCGGCCATCGGCATCTCCCACATCACCTTTGTTGTGCAAAAAGTTGAGGGCGCTGGCGATATCCTGCACCACCACGCTGGCCTCGAGCTCGTTGAAGTGGCGGCGCCGGTGGATGTGCGTCAGGATGGAGCCTGGGCGGGAGCAGAGCGCGGCCGTGGGCATGGGGCTCCGACCAGGGCTCCCATCCCGCTCCCGCTTGGGGCATTTTGGGACACTTTTGTGCCCCAAGGAACCTCGCTCACCTCCACGCATCTTCTCAAAGACCAGGTAGAAGCGGTCCTCCTCCTCGAAGAACTCGATCAGCTCCAGGACATTCCTGCGAGGACACCTGGCATCAGCTGGCATCACCCCACGTCGATGCCCACAGCTGGAGTGTGGATGTTGCCACTGTGGGACTGACACCGCTGGGAGCGTCGGCTTCCTGATGCCGCGTTGGCAAGCGGGGCCGGCAGACGACACGGAATGGCCACCCCGCTGCGGCCTGGAGCCCACACGTGTCCCAAGGTTGAGCCAGGCCTCAGCGCGCCCCGCCAGCCTGTGTACCTGTGTCCTTGGCACTGATACAGCATCTCCACCTCCCGGAAAACCCGGCTGCGGATGTGTCCCAGGCGCTTCTCAATGATCTGGAACGTGGGAGGAGACGGGGGGAGGCTGAGAATGCGGCTGCGACGGCAGCGGCCCGGCCGGGGCAGCGCGAGGCTGGTCCCAAAGGGGTTAA